AACTCGAGCAGTCACTCAATCCAACAGTTCCCGCAATTTCCCAATCCGACAGCTTTCTAAATTACTCAATTGGACAGCTCACGCAAGCACTCAAGGAGACAGCATAGACAGGCAGGCATTCAATTACCACAACGATTCAACGGCAGAGAAGCGACAAAATGACAGTTCAACAGCACGAGCGACAAGACTATTTGGTATGTATCCTTTAATACTTACCATATATTGTTCATTTCGTTTCCATTATTGTTTCATGCGATATTGTACCATATCATATATGATCAATAAAGGTTACTGTCAACGCTATGGAGTTATAACAACAGAAAACAAACTACCAAATCTTTCCTCGAGAACATTTCCGGAATAAATTGTATAATTTACCAATGCAATAGCAGGAATCAAATCGATTCAAGTCACGCTATTTCGCTGTTGAGAGTGTCACGAATAAACGTGAAGTTTCGTAAAAAAAAAAATATATAAAGAAATATAAGTAACCGTGTCGTGATATACTAAGTTGTATTTTCCAAATTGAATTATGACTAAGATTTGAAAATCATTCAAATTCTTTTCTAGACACGTAGATGCTATCACTATCCATAGAACTGTATCTGTGCTTACTATTTGCAGTACTCTAACAAAAACTTCAATCTATGCAATCGTTGAATCATATCTGCAAAGGATAAAGTATATATCCTTTACACAACAGGATAATTTCATTATTTTTTGCTTTTTGTTGTGGTATTTTAGAGATTACTTTTATACTTTAATTTGCGATTGTGTGACATTAATGTTGTCCCTTTCGTCTAATTAGTTTAATTACTCAGGTTTGAGGTGAAAACAAAGAGAAATTTACAACTTTGTGTTATGTTATGCAAGATATTTCCAAGAATACAATAATTTTCTAGTTTATAATACATTTATCAATCCCTCCAATTTATAAGTTGAGAATAGAAGAGTTAATGAGTTGTTGAAGAAGAGGAACAGTCATTTTCTGTCATAGTAAAATTCAGTTTATAATATTAATTGATTCATTATTCTGTGCACTATCTTTCTACCTTCTATAAAACTTTACAATTTTTTCAACATAGGAAGTAACATCCTACCTTTACCTGTGATAAAGATAGCTTATCATGAATTCATCTCATAGAAATTTCCTGACTGCAAAATGGTAACCAATTGACAATCATAAGAGTTGACTGATATAAGGGATGTCATTAAGATAGTTGTTGGATTTGAACTTAATTTCATTCTAATAGAAGAAGATGCTTAATAAAAACTTATCTTAATATTACAGTTTAAAAACTTTGAATTCGTCATTTGTCAAATTGTATAGTATGCGAGAAAATGTTTGGAAGACAAAACTTCGCATAACTTTTCTTAAATCTTGAATATTTGCACATAAATTGATTGAATTGGTGTGATCAACACAGTCAAGTGAAAGTCATTCATGTCGTTTTAGCCTGCAAAAGTTTTTTTCGAGCAATCATTGTCAAATGAAAGATATTTCAGAATGCAATTAAAATTTGAAGTAATGTTTTCTCTTTACTTTTGTCACTCGTATTTCTAATGAGCCGTCATTAGTATACTGAGAAAAACCGATCATGACGATGAAACCAATAGTGAGTATTAAATCACTATTTTATGTCACGTGGATAGTATAAATTGATTAGGAAAGACATTCGTCAGTGATTTTTGAGAGGGATTCCGAATTTGATTATAAAGGAAGTATTGTCACATTATCATGTCCTCTTAACGAAATCTTCTGGTATTATTTGAGATCTTAAGTAGTTCTAATGCTATCAACTTTCTCACAAGCTGCTATGTCTTTCATCTTTTACAAATCTTTATCCCAATTTTGTCAATTAATATTCAATCGCATATCCTTTCAAATATCAGCCAGTCATCTTTACGTTTCTTCGAAACAATTTTCTCATAATTTAATGTTCGTATATTACATTTGCGACTGTGTTATTGACACTTTTCATAATACTTTCTGCGCACATAAGTTAATGATCTGTAATTAATACAATTTGTGTCTTTTACTTTTATCCTTTATCATATCAGTTTTAGTCAATCTAAAGTTATTTGTATAAGTCCCATTAGCAGTATTGATTATTTTCTTCAGAAGAATAAATTATATTTTAATAAGAAATAAATCAGTTTGTTTCTTTTCATTTTTTATATCGTATGGGCATTTAAAGGAAAGAAAATTCTTCATTTCTCTTAATCTTATTTGCTATTTTAGGATTTGTATTAATCGTAGCACTGGAATTTAAATTCAATTTAAATATTTAAGAGTCAAGATTTTATTCATTATAAAATGCTGAATTTTGGCGATCTCATTTCATTTCTATTGCTTACTGCAATGTCAAGTAGTAATGAGTTTTCTATTAAAACAACGACGATCTCAGAGTTTGCGCAACGAAACTATCCGCCAAGGTTTGCGTTATCATTCTAAAATCATATTCTTAAACTCAAAAGCCTTTAGCTGAATATTTAGTTATTATCAGAAAGATTAAACTTTGGCGTTCCTCATTATCAATTGTATAGTTCACAGATTCTAACTTTTGTCTTTATTGATAATCAAAAAATAAAACTTGCTATATACCAATTCAGGAAGCTAAAATGAAATTCAAAGAATTTAATTGAATTAATTTATTTTTACCTTCCGAAGTTCGCCATTATTTTCTCATTGCACTTATTTCTCAGTCGCTTGCATCCATAAGAACAAATTTCGTTTTTGTGTAACAGTACTGACTTCATGAAGATCCTAAATTTCAATAGATCTAAAAATGTTTTCTGAATTGCTTGCCATTCATAGCAATTTTTCTTAGAATTGAAAATGAGGATTCATTAAGCTGTTGTATTTAATTAAAAAGTAAATAATTGGGATTCCCAGACTATGTCTTCCCAATCTTATCTCCAAATATTTGATTGGTTTTTTTTTTTCGAATAACTTTGGATTTTGGATAATTTCATAATTTGAATAATTTTCGTTTCAAGTATACGTTACTGTGCTTGTCTACTACTATTGATCAGCCAAGGAATTGGCCAAATTGTCGCAGCTGGTTGGTGCAGCACCCAACATTCATTTTCATGTTTTATTGCGCAATTGTTCATTGCATTTCTTGCTGCTTTTACAACACAGGTTGCTTTCTGATCTAATCTACATTGAACTTAGAATTTTAATTTGAATTTCGTTATACACAATGGTATAACTAAGTCAACAACTGGATTAAACTCAAATTTTAATAGGAAATCATACGCAGTACTGGTATTTTCATGGGCCACTAATTTTTCTAATAAACAGGTGCATGAATTACTGTCATATCAAAGAATGACATCAAATTTGTTGTAATAAACGTTCTCTCGTTGTTTCTCTTGCCCCCCAATTTTCAGTACGATATGACAGCAATGTGACAATTGTCGCTTCACCATGCTGAAAAATTACTTTATTTTCCTCTAACACCTATAAATGAAGGTTAGAATATGTAGAAAAGAGCTCGAGACTAAAAAAATCGAAACTTTATTACAGCCTATTAAAAATAATCACTTTATAGTACCTGTTTATTGGTATACTTTTCTAAAAGTTGTTCATCAGGAGAAATATTTCAGTGGTGTCAAACTTATTCCTTAGGACTAACCCGAGCAAAGCGTGCATTTTTTGATGAATTCAATGTTCTTGAAACTTACCAACCAAGAGCTCGTACTATGGGTCATTTATTTGTGGTAATTTCTACTTAACAAAAAAGTTTTTTTACACGAAAATTTCAACACTTATTTGGCTGGTGATGAAGATGGCAACTTGAAAGGGATACTGATAATACGAATTGCAATCCAACTAATACATCTAAGGATGATTTATTAATAAATATTTTAGATTCAATAAGAAATTGAGCACTCGGACTGTTACATGTATAACAGGAAAATATACTGAAATTTTATATCCAAAATGATAATTATTTGTGATAATTTATTTTATATCAATTTACTATATACAAAAAGAATAATGAAAAAAAAATAATTTGAAAGATGCCATGCTACCAAATATTGTTTGAAAAAGAAAGCTAAAATTAAGCCTGAACCACCAACGCCAGTTCCGGATGCACAACGACATCAGCATGATGATACAGTAAAGGAAACAGAACGAAGTGTCTTTTTGCAGATGAGAGATGCGGTTCGTTAAATAAAATTTACTAATTTTCTAAAAATTATGAATTGACTATTTTGAGATTTGACTGGCTGCAAGACTTTTGGCCCCGAAAAATGAAGTCATAGACTTACAGAATAATAGCAGAACCTCAAAATTATCGTTATCATGTTCAAAATAGAAGGAATAAGCCTAGTTTAAGTATTGATTATTTGAAGAAATAAAGCAAAATAACAATCAGTATAATAAAGTTCACCCGAATCGAATATTGATTAATTACTTACCTCAACTTAATAATGACCCATTTAAAAACAAATGGTTAATATTTTATGCAATTCTCAGCATTATGAAAACGAATATACATACCTGGAAAAGCTGAACCGTGAGTTGAGAGAAGGAGGAAATGTTGCTAAACAACCACAAAATGAAGTCCAAAATGGTATGTCAAATAGACCGAAAATTGAAGGACCGGTTCTAATTGAATTTCATGCTGATTCCGAAACAGATGATGATGATTACTCATTGTAATAATTACAATACAATTTCCGAATCAGGTTTGTTTCAAACAACATAAGAAATTTTCTGTACAATATATTATTTCATTGTATGAAAAAATTTTTATACAATTTATAGAATTTTTTAAAATGAAAGAAGAGCTATACAATTGAATATTTTGTATAGTATGAACTGCTGATAACGTATCAATAAGATCCATCACTGGAGATTATTTCGTTATTGTTAACGTAAAGCTGATAGATAAATCCAAATTTCTTATTACCACTACTTGTTGCTTTCACGTAACAAACACTATGACCAATTTCAAAATGTGTCTTTGTACCATTTTCCAAAAATTCACCCTAAAATTTTCATGCTAATTTTAATACCTTAAATGTTATCAATAATTTCTGAATCATTAATATATTATCGCATCATTGTTTAAAGTGATATTATCAAATTTCTTTCAATTTTGTGACTGGCGATGGTTTATTATCCGAATTTTTGATTTCCATTCTAACTGCTTTTATAATTTCCTTTGTTTATTTTCTATACATAACCTATGATTTCTTTTTTTAAAATACAAGAAAAAATTTCTTTTTTTACCGCAGTATTCATTTTTTGACCATTCACCCAAATGTCCATTGTTCCTTTATCTATAAAAATCTCAAATTTCAAATTTCAAAATAAATATTAGCTCCATTTGGGAAAAAATATACTCAAGTACCGTTATTTCAAACTAAACTGTTAAATTACAGTATTTGGTAGAAGGTGGTATCAAGTTGGATGAAATGTAATATTTTCATTGCTGGAGAAAAGCTATTTCAAAACCTTCGCTTCTCAAATTCCAGTTAAATTTCGATATCGAGTATTTGAATTGAAAATTTAAAAATATTTTAACAAGAAGAGATTAACAAACCCATGCAAAACTAACAAACTAACAAACCTAAGCAAATACGAGTCTCTTGTCCATCCAGAACTGTTGTCCAACTTTTAAACTTTTTTGCCACGTCTTCTCGAAATTTATCGTAGGATTTACCATTCACTTCCAATGTGTATTCATATAAAAATGTTCCCAAAGCTTCCACATTAATGGCACATTTAAATTTACCAATATTAAATATCTCTTTACCCACAAGGCTGAACATCCAGTTTTTCCTCAAAATTTCCTGAAATATTATCTGATAAATGGAGGAAATTTGAGCAAGTAAAGAAGGTATTATTAAAATTTCCAGAAAGGAAAATTTGTCTCATACGCACTTATTCAATTTTCAATAGTTATTAACAGTGCCAAAATACGTGTTTCACGTGGAAATGAAATCACATAAATGATCTTTGCTTGCACATATCACTACTGCTTCAATTTCATCACAAATGAAAGAAGTTTGCAAATTTAAAGAAAATCTCGAAAAATTCAAAAAAAAGCAAACTTTGCCATCAACTCGTATAACTCTCTTGCCACTGGCAGTACCATGCTCGAATTCAATCTTATATATTCGGTCTTGTACAGGTACTGACCAACTTGCTACAGTATCTTGCTTATCTGACATCCTATGAATAAAAAAGAAAAAACAAATTTGCTTTTAAACGACATTTTAAAAAAAAAAGTAAATAAATAAAAGATAGAGGGTGAAAGAGATTTTAAAACGAATCAGTTTTTCACGTATGTGCGATATTCTTGTAAAATGAGTTAAATTGAATTGATCAAATTATTAGCTGAAAAGATAAGGAATGAAGCGTAAAATGCAATACTCTCTTATTTGAATGTTTCTATAGCAACGTGATTCAAAAAGGTAACTGAGTGGTGAATAATAAATCGAAAAAATATAAAATGTAAATAACCATAGCCAAGCATGGCACTCACAACACACTGGCCATAGCCAGATAACCATTTCGGAGAACCGGTACTAGCTAGACAGGATATTTTAACCATTTCGGAGAGCCGGTACTAGCTAGACAGGATATTTCTTCTTATACCTACCTATTCACATAGATTCATTATAACAAGTGCAAAAATGTTACCTTTGTCAATACTAAAAACTTGGTAAAAGTCATCAATATGTTGCATCTTTCTGAATTAATAATGTTTTGTTTTAATTTTAAATCTAATTTAAAACAAACTCAAACATCAAATAGATTGTCGCATTTATACAAACAGAGTGTCATATATTTAAAATTTAATCTGCTTATTTTCTTGAGATTTTACGATCAAATAAGATTCGGTTTAGCAAGTTTCGTTTATCTTAAAATGATGATTTTTTTTTCAACTGTGACAAGGATTAAGGGTTGTTTCGTTCCTTTGGCTGATGAAATCTCTTCACAAAGTTCTAATTTCCTTAACCCTACCAATCTTTCGTCCATACTATAGTATATATCAGACTTATCATTCCAATGCACACCTTCACAAAAGACAACGATAATCGATCCTCCTCGCTCTTTTGTACCACTTTGCTAAGATATATTGCTTGTCTCTCCTTTGCTTTTGAGCAAACCGTCGCACGTCTAATGCCATTTTCCTAATTCGCGAATCTTGTGCCATATGATCTTGCCTGTTGTACCTTTGTCCTGTCCATTAAGCTTTTTATCTTTTCCGGTGGTTTCTCTTCGGAGCCTTCTTAGATCTTCATCTTCTAAGTATTTTATAGCGTCTTCCGTTGTCCATTCTCGACCCCTTGAACTTCCTTTTTCTCATACTTTTAACCATGTTTTTTGATATTCTTTCATTTACCATCACGTCCATTGTTGCATTGTTCCTATATTCTTCCCATACTCCTTTTAGTTGAGATGATAAGTTCGAAAGTTGTCTCATCACTTGAAATGGTCCTTTGCTTGAATATCGAAGCCATTTTAAATTTTTATATAATTCCTTTATTCTTTATTTTTTATCGCCTCATCGATCATATAAACCATATAAAATTACCCAATGATTACATTGCTATTTGTCCTCTTGTTTCCCTTAACAGATGCATGAGTTTCTGTGTTGAGTGTTAAATCTGTTCCCTTCAGATTGGCTGTTGAACTGGACTCATATCTGGACTTAATGTCAATGGGTTAATGGGCATGATTAGCTTCTCAATTAATTAAATCAATTAAATCTTTTTCTGCCCTTCTATCGCTGTTGATTCCTATGAATGTATCATTTATTCGATTTAGTTCCATAAGAAGTGAAGCTCTTCCTCAACAACTCTTGCTTTCTTTTGTCAAACAGACAATCCTTCCTCATACAAGTTATCCTCCTCGTATAATGGAATGTCATTCTCCCATTGAATATAACAATGCTTTCCATTTTCTTCAAATCCTTTCTCTTGGAGATTATCCCATCCAACACTTCTTCTGGTTTCTCAACATTATATTTTTATCGTTTAATCATTCTATCCTTCTTTCGTGACTTAATCTTTATGATGGATTCTAGTATTCCTTCAACAGCCTATTCCGCAGTGTTCGCAGGACACTTCAAATTCCTTCTAATGAAATAGGACGGAGAACTTCCCTTTCCTTCCTCCTTTACACTTATGTTCCTTTTGTCACCCTTATTTTCAATCTTTATTATAAGCTGACTCGAACACGCTCTCCTCGTCGCTTCCTTTTTAACTGAATCCTTAGGTTGCTGCTTCAAATCAGGCTGCTTGGACAAATTTTCCGATGATCTTCAATCATGACAAGGATTGAAAATTGTTTCAGCTTCTTTGATTGAAAATGCCCCAAATTTGGATAATGAAACCTTTGTCACGATAAATTAGTTTATAGGACAACGGACTCAACAATTACAATTTCGGCAAGACAAATTAATGACGATAACAACATGAAAAGGAAACTCAGTGGCGCTCGATATTGTCTATTCAACCGACCTAGTTGAGATACATTTTTAAAATGCTTTTGTTACTCAGGATTCTTCATTTTCTCGATTACAGTCCTAGTACTGTTTTGAGATTATAAGAAATAGCATCTTTTTAGCTGCAAGTGGAATGGAGCTCATTGTTAGAGTATTATGATAATGTTCTGATCATAAAAGTTTCTTCCGGTTGATTACAACTTCAAAAGTTAGCTTCGGAAATCCTTCTCGGTCAATCGTATCTCATGATATTTCATCCAAAATTGTTAAATTAAAAACGATGAAAACTGAATAATGATCGGAACCGGAAAACTCTTATTATTTGCCGAGCTTGTTTATCTCTAGAAAAATTACTATTTTGCTGAATTGTTTTCATTTATAGCAAAGTCTGGAGGTGGAATGATTATTTGAGAAAGTTTTATTTCACAGATAAATAATAGAACACAAAGAATTGTAGGCATTAGTATATAATATTTTTCTACGTGGAATACGTGGGAAAATTTTAAAAAAATATGATAGAAAAGTGAGAAGCAAGGTTATCAATATATTCACAATCATTTTATTCCAGACGTAAATAACTTCATCTTTGATCTTATATGTGCAAAGGAACTTGTGCGCACGTATGTTGACATATGATGTATCCAAACGAATAACTTGTTATGAAATTTATCTGCGATCAGTAGATTATCAGTAAATTACAAAAAGCTGACAGAAACATTAGAGAATGAAATAAATGATAAAAGAAATGATTACTACAATTTCAACTGCTGCTTAATGTATATGTTAACTACCTTGAAGACACGTGTTTCAAATTCACTCAAATCATCACTTTTCAACAAAACCTGATCACCCTTTAATCGATCCAACAATGCCACACAAACTACTGCTGCTGAAATATTAAAAAATTTAATCATTTCAAATCTTCAAATCATTCATTTTTAAAAATACAGCTAATACAATTTAGAATGGTCAAAAAGTACATTAAAAAAAGTTTCCCTCTTTTCTATAAGGGATATACTAAAAGGTATTTCACAAAAATTTTGCAATTACTACACCTCCTTGATGAATAGCTATTCAACTTCACCTCTTATATTGCCTCGATTGAACAATGCTGCAAAACACAATGATTCCATTTCAATATTTCGTACTCCCAAATTATGCAAACGATTGAGGAACGCTAACTTTTGCTGTTCCGTGTACTCGCAAAATGCACCATCCAATCTTGCTTGTCCTAAAATTCTCATATTACATTCACAAATTTCAACAAAACGGTAAATTCGGAAAAGTATCCGTTGCACAAAGAAAGTTTGTATTGAAAATATGTTTAGGAAAAAGAGATGGATAATATGATTTGATATTATCCATTTTGATGAGAACGATTGAATTCCGAAAATACAGCGCCTATACCACCTTCATAAAAATCTTCGCTACTTAATGTTTTTCCGATTTGAACAGGTAATTTTAATTGGACTGCGATTTTGTATAATTGCTGATACACTTCTGCATCAAAGATGGCTGGTCTTGAAATCTACAACAAATAACTCTTGCATTATTTTGACAAAATTCAGCTTTTTCAAGGAAAACACAACAAAAGGAAATTTTGTAGGAAAGTTCAAATGGAAGTACTAACCTTTTCACCCATGATATACTGTACATATTCCTCGAGCAATTCACCATTTAACGCTCCACTGGTAAGTATTAAGGTACCTGATGTAACACCAATACCACCTGCGGTACCCATTCGTATTGCTATCACATCTTTTGCTTTCGCATAATACAACAACTTAATCAGTTCCACAATAACAATACTCGATGATGAAGAACCTATTCCATGCTGTAGTAGTATTTGACATTAAAATACAACAAAAGATGTTACTACTGATTGGTTTTTGAATAAATTAGAAAAGTGTAAACAAATACACTTTGTATAATATTGTTTCGTCAGAAAAAAAGACAGACAAGAATGCTTTTTTACTTTTAGAATATAAACTTCATCCATAGATAGAACTGATGCTAATAAAAGATTCATTCTGTTTATGTAATATAAATATTTGATTGTTTACTGTCCCAGTAAAATGCGAATAATCAAATTATAATTTTAAAAATTAATTTTTAATATAATTCTTTTTAAAAGAAAAAACAAATCACATAAATAATTTATATTAATTATATGGATAAAGTTTATATCCTGAAAGTAAAAAAGCGTTGTCGTTGTTTTTTTTTTTGGTGTACAAATCAACAAACAAAAACTAACATTAACCCAAAGTACTTGACCCGTCTTATACATTGAATAACGATCAGTTGTGCTCAAATTATCGGACATACTTATACCCATTTCTTTGGCGAATATTTTTGCATAATTCTTTATCCGTCCCATGCTTCCACCCATACATATAAACTATAATTGTTTTCTAAGAATTTACTATCATTAATATTTCACAGTTATCAATACCGTTCAATTAGTGAAGCAAAAACAAATCCTTGGCTCACATATAAATAGTTAGCCTTTTATGTGAGTACAATCATTCGAATATCTGATTGATGAATATCTCAATTTCAAATTCGTTAAAATATATAATGTAATAAAATGTATACTTTCAAAAATGTTCTTTATTTGTAATTAAAAAACAAACAACTTCGCTAAAAATAATTTTCAAATGCGAGCTAAATGCTTCTTGTAATAATCCTAAAATATTAAATATATATCAACAGATGCTTTTTTTTGTTTATTACGCTTTATTGATGTGTATATTTTCTTTTTATTTTTTATTTCTTTTTTATTTTTTAATTAGTAATAATATTTTGATAAAAATGAATATTTAAATATGTGATAAATGTGAGACAAAAATAATCCACGGTTATGTCTTTCGTTTGATAGCGCAACCAACGAGAAATTCGTTTTGTCGTCTATTCGACATTTTTGCTTTTTCGGTTAATTTCCCTAATCGTATATGAAAAAAAATGAATTTGAATGCATTGAAAGTTTTCAAGATTAATTATACATTGTAAGGTGTAACCTTAATATCGCCATACATCTTTGGAATGTCAATCGCACTTTTCGTAATGCCAAGATGATGGAAATGGTCATCTGATTGCTTGTCCAATAATGGATTATGAATTTGGACCATTTTCTCACACATTTTTATTGTCTTTTTCGATTTTTTAACGTTAAACAGTTCAGTGTTCTAAAATAAAATCATAAAGGAAATGCTTTTGGCAGGAACATTCTTGGACGCATACTTTTATTAATTATGATTTAGTACTGATAAAAGATGATAAAACAGAGCAAGCCTACAACATATTGCAAACTTTCTTAGCATATTGTACTGATATTTCTGACATTCACTTGATAGAAATGGAATATAACTTTGGAGATGTCACCAAAAAAAAATTCAAGAGAGCATTATTGTTTTTGCTAGGGAATACGAATTGCAAAAAGTCAAATGCTGCATTACCTGAATCAAGTCCTAATATAAGCTTGTCACATTTTTTCCTGCTCTATTCTTGTTTTATTCTTTACTTTCACTATATTAGAATTTCTACCAAATAAGAATCAAGAGAGAAAAATGCTTAGAATTTCAAGAATTTTTAGTGAATCATGGCCAAGTCTGAATTAAGTTAACTTTCTGGCAAATTAAATTTACTTTTTACAATATCACCAGCGGTACCTTTTTTAAACTTTCAACTTAACCTAATTATTAAAAAAGATAGCAAGAAAAAATACGCAGTCTCTTTTCATAATGCAGATTACCCCCCATTCATGGCTGATAATAACCCTAACTTCATATTCACCAGTAGGAATAATTCCCGATGGATATTCACCAATAATAATAATCTCAAGTATGAACTTTTCATCAACAGTAATATCCTCTGATTAATCTTCATCAGTAGAATACTGTTTGCTTGATAATCACTAAGCATTAACAATCCTAGTTTGTCTTTCATAAATAATATTCCTTGTTTTGACATCCACCAATAGTATGTGCTTTGACATTCATGTAATTATGTCTAATAAACTCACAATGCGATAAAACAAAAAGATTAAGAAAAGTTAAAAAAAAAAGGAAGAAAATGAAGAAACCGGTCATTGGAATGCAAATACACCTGGTATGTAAAAAGAATCATCGATTTCAATGATATTATGGATGAAATGTGATTGTAATGATTCCCACAAAATGTCCATTAATAATACTCACTGTCTGACATTCATCAACAATATGTGTCCTGTTGACATTCACCAGTAATACCTTTCAACTGAACCAGTCAACAACCAAAATGCAGTAAATGAATTAAATGATTAGAAAACCGGTCATTATAATGGGAATGCCTCACATAAATAAACTGAAATATGAAAAATACGGTAAGCAAACCACAATATATCGTTGGAATTGTACAGAGTAAATCAATATGCTGAAGTCAGAATGTTTTCATCACATTTGGTTCAGCATTTCATTGGCTATTATTCATTCTTTATCTCCGCTAAACACACTTATACTGCATTATGGCAATTCACTCATCATTCTATCCTTATAACAACAGCACAATACAATAAGTATCGTTAATATGCAAATCTTTAAAATTGCGGATTTTATGATATATCAATTACATTGTTAGAAACACTAAATACTTCCCCAATTCCCTTTTTATTGACTTCTTCGATCCATCGCTGTTTTGTAAGTGACATTTCTTTTGTTCAACTGATTGACTGACTATCCGTATTAGAATATATAAGAATACCAAACTTGTCTATTCCTACTTTATCAGTGAAATCTTGACGAGATCTGAAAGAGACAAGTAATTTGAGAAAAAAATGCGTCAAAAAATTAGATCGAATCATCCTTTATATTCACAACTAGTACGAATCTTCCGTGTTGACAAAAAAAAACAGTTATAAAATCTCATCTGTTGACAAAAAAACAGTTATTAAATTCGATCTATCATTCTGCCGATAATCAAAAATCAACGGTAAATCTTTGATCTACCAACTTCCGCCCTTCTCCAACGCTAAAAAAAACACTTTTAGTTTCGCCAAAGCATATCAAAAGTCAGACTTTTTTTGTACTGAGAAGAAACACAGCGAACCGTAAGTTTTATATGTAAAGTTGTGAAGAGTTATCAAATCAGATGTAAGCAAAAATACATAAATCAAACAAATACGTATATTAATACTAACGTCAATCAAATAACGCATACGAACAAAGTATAGAAATTGTGTACAAACCATTAAACAAAGATACTATCTGAACTGTATACCTCAAAACCGTGAAGCATTTCAAAATTCTAACTGCCAACTCATGATGCAAGAAGGGAGATACAGGTTAACAGTTCTAGTAGTAATTTAATATTCTTTATGAACGTTTAGATCTGAGAACAATGGTCCAAGGATGAAACAAAATCAACCACATAATATCTTATTTCCTCAGTGATTCATGGTCACGAAAAGAAACAAAAAAGTATATACGCAAATTATAGAGTTAGTTCATCATGGTCAAAAAGTTCTTATGCAAGACAAAAAAAATCAGCTAAAGAGAATTTCGAAGCATGGAATAATGATAACCGAATATAACACAGACAGATATTTTCAAAAATTTCAAATCCATTACTATTACAACTAAGAATGTTAACCCGCTAATGCTAAGGCTAAAGGAAACACGCTAATGCTAAGGAAACAGATAATATCCAAAGCCAGATAGTAAGATTATGACCTGATGCATAAGTACACAAATGAAACCAGTTATAAAAATGAAAGACACCGGCAACACTGGGTGGATACCATTATGATTGGGCCTGACAGCTATATTCGTAAATAATAAAAAACGAGATACGGACGGTTAAAGAATAGGAAGGTGTACATAATGTGAAATTTTCAAAAATTATACTGCACAGATGAACTGTAAACTTATTGTCCGTCGGCCCTGAAAGGAAACAATAAATGGTCGTTTCTCAAATTATTACGTGTTTTGCATAAACTCTCTACAAACATCCAAATTTCATGTGTTCAATATTGAATGCAGATCGGTTGCGGATGATGTCCTTGAACATTTCTGGGGAATAATGGAACGTATTGTCTCTTTTTCTTCAGACTGCTGAAAAACAGAAGCTTTCCGTTAATATTCTTTAATTCCGTAATAAATAGGAGAGAAATGAAATTACAACCGCAAAAACGCACTTTTGTTTTAAATTGTTTCACCGAAGAGACCAATAATGTTTCGCAGTTTCAGTTCCACTCAGTTCATCAATCACTACCTTGATCAAAAATTTTTTCATCATATTTTGTAATAGAAATATCCTCCTAATATTGCCCCTGCTTCAAGAATTATACTGTACTTCACCGTATTTCATATCTCCATATCTAATGTGCATTTAATAAGGCATCAGAAATGTTTGCATCAACCATAGCTAGTAACGTATTCAATAGAAGTACCTAAGTCACTTAGAGCTGATTAGAACTCACTGCTCAGGGAACAAAACAGTTTATTGAATTCAAAGATCGATTTTGTTTTAAAAAGAATTGTGATCACTCCATTTCACAGTTTCGTTTCAAAATTTTCCTTGATTTAGCAGGAATAAATATTTTGTCACCAGTTCCATAAATAGCTATTTTGGATCCCTGGAATTTCGTGCACCTTGCAACTAATATTGAAATGAAGAAGCGCTTTCTCTAGGATGTTTTCTTCATATTTTGCCACCGTCATATTTTTACATAAAAGTACTAAAATCCTTGTCTTTCCTGAATTGCAATAGAAATTTGAAATGTCTAAATTTTTACAAACAACTGAACCATTTTCTTAGCACCGACCTGAACAGGAAGAGAGTGAGATGTTGTTAAAGATTCTTTCTCCAGGAATCGAACAAATTGCTCCGCCAAAGAAATATTCTGTTGAGGAAGTCTCGATGAACCACCAAAACCAAACCAACTCCTCGACGAAGAGTGACTCGCAGCACTAATTTTTGCAATGTCCTGAAAATTAGAAAAAAGTGAAAAATATAGTAAAAAAGTTAAAATAGCAAGGAACTAGATTTTCGGAAAACAATCCACTGACCATCATATCCATTCGCTTTTTCAGTCACAAATTTAAAACTGTCATCTTCTCTCTATTTTATATTCAAATCGAACTACATGGCTGAACTGGATTTAAAAACATGACCTCCTGTGAATAACCTAGCACCGACGCCAATAAGATGGCAATTTCTGGTTGTTTGTCTTTGTCAGCGGTAAAATATGACAGAAACAGTTGACGAAGTACTTGATCATCAATGCTGTACGATGATACTGATGCTACTGCCAGTTGCGCATGCTCGTCAAGGCTTGCTTCAAGTTCTTCAATCATCTATAAAAGACAATAGCTAAATCTACAAAGAATGTATGCAGATCAATTAAACAGCCAAAGTTCTTCCTTAGCAAAGAAAATAAAAGAGCATTTTAGTATAACAAAAACTCAAACTTTTACTGAATTTTGACAGTTGTAATCTACCTACCGCATTCTTCCTCGTAATTTCTCTTTGAGATACACAGTTTTACCTTCCAACAATTGCTTTTCGGCCTTCGATGGTTTCC